GATGGCATCCCAGACTCACAAGGCCAAGCAGCAGCACTTAATGGTCAGAGGAAAAGTGGGCATGTCAACCACAGGGCAACAGGGACGTGCCAGGTGTCAGAATCCTCTGGCTCTGAGGCATCTCTAGCAGGAACTGATTGGTCATGGTGTCCCCAGGAATGAAATGGGGGCTGCGCCTATCAGGCTAATTGCTTGATCTGTACACCAAGAAACACTCTAAGTGTGGTAGCCTGTGACCTGACCTGAGTCACCAAATACAGAATCACAGCCTTTCTTTCAGTTTTCCGACCTAAGTCAGTTCACAGACCCAGAGGCCTTTGATGGAAGAGAAGCCTGGGTCCCCTTGAAAAAGGACCCTGTCCTCTTGCCACAAAGACACACTGAAAATCTCCCGCCTAGCCTTCCCCGAAGGGACCTATGGCCACATACTAGAGTGACTGTGATTTGAAGAAAAAAGTAAACACTCAGATTTTCCAGGGATTACTAGATACTCCAAGAGGTAAAGAACCCACGGCAGCTGAGGGTCTGCCCTGAGGGCGAGGAGAGTAGGGAAGAGGGGGTCACAGGTACAAACCACAAGCTCGGGCCAGTTACAGGAACGAGGACTGAAGCAGCTCTGTGTGCGATCTGTGCCCACTACATAGGTGGGCTTACTTACGCGTGCTAACCATTCTCTACTTCTTTTGCCTTCTTATTTTTCAAGTTATACATGAGTTATTGGAGGTTCACTTTACAATTTAGCCTTCAAGGAACGGAATTTTCAGTGAACCTGTGACTAGATCTGAGGAGTAATTAATGGAGCCCATGAGGGATGCAATGATGGGGTCTTCTCGTTTTGAACAACGAGAACTTCTCCACTTGTAAGAAGGATAAAGGGATCCGTTGTCTTATTGTTTTAAGGAAGCCCCAATGTGAATAAAAGGGTGCGTATGGAAGCTGAGCAGCCACAGGACGGACTGTGTCAGTCATTAGTTTATCACCTCTCGGCTCCAAATACACCTGTCAACATTTGCTGTGTGATAAACAATGCAATTCCTTTCAGTTTTATCCCTATAAAGTGGGCACAATGCCCAGTTTTCCCAAAAGAAGGTGCTGGAACGACATTCCAGGAGGGAGCGCCTTCCTGTGATTTCCAGCAGGGGCCAGAGAGAGGACATCTTCGAGAGCCTACCCCTGCCACCAGCCCCAGATGCAGTCCCTGTGTAACCTCGCAGACTCAGCCTGGTGCCAACCTATCTGCAGCCCCCACATGTGGAAACCAAAGCACCTGCTCAGCCTGGACACAGCCTGTCTGTGCCAGAGGGTCCCCGTGGACGTGCAGCAGCCCTTCTTCAACACCATGCACAGCCCACCTGTGGCCGCGGCCTCCACAGAGAAGCACTCCACTTTCACTCCTGCAGCCAGTGAGCTCCCAAGGCCTCTGTCCCCACTGGGGGGCTGACTTCCGATCACACCCACATCTCCTGTTGTCGACTACATGCTTCCTGCCTGAACTCCAGGGTGTTGCTGGTTGTTTGCCCCCCAACACTAGACACGTTGCAGTTCGGCTAAACCAGCCAACTCCCGCTAGTTGGGGGACAAACCACAGCTTCGCCAGTGGGGTCTGAACCCGTTCCAAGTTCGCCCTTCGTCTCGATGCTAGAGTACCACACAGAGTCCCCTGGTATCTTATAGTCACTCCTTACAGTATTAATCATTCCTATGTTAAACTTCTGTTGTTGAATCTGCTGTGTGGGTTCTACTTCCCGCTTGGACCCAGACTGCTACATCAAGATAGATCATATCTTGGGCCATAAAACAAACCTCAGAAAATTTAAAGAATTGAAATCATACGGAGTGTGTTCTCTGACCATAATAGACTCACACTGGAACTCAACAACAGAAAGATAACAGGAAAATCTCCAAACGGTGGAAAACTAAACAGCACACGACTAAATAACCCACAGGTCAAAGAGGAAATGTCAACAGTAACCAAAAAATACATTGAAGGAATGAAAGTGAAAATACGACATCTTAGAATCAGTGGGACACGGCTAATCCAGTGCCAAGAGAGAACTTTTGGCACTAAATGTTTATATTAGGAAAGAAAAGGGTCTTGAATAAATAATCTAAGCTCCTACCTCAATAATCTAGCAAAAGAAGAGTATAGGAAACCCAAAACAAGCGGAAGGAAGGACATAATAAACGAAAGAGAAGAAATCAATAAAATTGGAACAGAAAAATAATAAATCAATGAAAGAAAAGGCTTGATTTTTTAATAAGATCACTAAAATGATCTTTAGAATCTCTACAAAGATGGAGAAATGAAAAATGAGAGAAGACAGAAATTACCAATATCAGAAAGGAAACAGGAGGCCACTACAAACCCTGCAGATATCCAAAGAACAACACAGGAATACTCTCAATAACTTTATCCCTATAAATTTGATAACTTAGACTAAATGAACCGACTCCTCAAAAAGCACAAATGATCACAATTTACCAAATATGAAATACATCATGTGACTGACTACCACTCTAAATATTAAACAGACTGAATTTGTAACTTTCAAACTCCCAGAAAAGGAGTCTCGGTCTTGATGGTTTCACTGAAGAATTCTATCTGATATTTAAAGAAGAATTCTACACAACCTCTTTGAGAAAATAGAAGAACTACGAAAATGTAACATTAAAAAAAATCAACAACAATCCAACTAGAAAATGAACCAAAGAAGATTTACAGATGAGAACAGCACCTAAAAAGATGTTCAGAACTTTTAGCCATTCAAGAGACGCAAATTAAAACCACAGTGAGCTGTGACTGTACACCTATCAGAACGGCAAGAAATGAAAATACCAACTGCAGGTGAGGCTGTGGAAACACGGAAACATTGCAGCTATGAATGCAAAGTAGCACAACCATCCTGGAAAAGCGTTGGGCGGTTTCTTTTCAAAAATGACACATGCAGCTACCATTCTACCCAGGAATTGCACTCCTGGGCATCCGTCCCACAGAAATGAATACTTCCGCTTACACAGAAGCCCAGACACGAATGTTCAGAGCAGCTGTATTTGTAATAGCCTGAAACTGGAGACAGGTGACTTCGACAGATGACTGTTCCAACCAACGGCGGTATGTCCGTGTCACAGAATATTACTCAGCAGCAAAAAGGAGGAAACTATTCCATACAGAGCCATTAGGTGAGCCTCCAGAGAAGTACGCTGAGTGAGAAAAGCCAGTCCCAGAGGCCGCACACACACTGTATGGTTCTATTCATATAACGTGCTTGAAATGACACGCTATGGAACTGAAGAGCAGTGAGCGGTTATCAGGGGTGAAGAGGAGGAAAGTGAGTGTGGCCACAGGGGATCCCTGTGGTGACGGAAATGGTCTGTTTCTTGATGGTGTCAGCATCAATATCCTTCCTCCTGGCTGTGATTTGTAAGATGTTACGATTGGGGGAACCTGGGGGAAATGGTACATGGAGTCTCTCTGGATTATTGCTTGCAACGGCACGTGAATCTGTAATGGTCTCAAGACAAAATGGCTAATTTATAAAAATAATAAATAGTAAACAAATCAATCAAAAGAAAGAGAACTGAAACAGGAACTACCTTCCCGGCATGTGAGTTGATGTTCTTTGATGCAGCATCTATGGTTGACCTAAAATCACGTCCCCGAGCCCCACAAGGCTACCCTGGGAGAAACATCGACTCGACATACCTCCTTTTCCTTGACTTACATAGTTTTCTTTGTATCGGCTCACTTTTCCTTACCTACCTTTAAATTCAAAGCATATTTTGCATCACTATTGTATAAGGAAAAGCTGCACCACTGCTATGAATACAAAGGGATCATAATAAAACTACAACTAAAGCCATGAAGACCTGCAAAGACCTCTCAGTTGGTGGCAAGCCAACGCAGAAAAAAAGGCTTTCTATGGATATGCCCCAAAAGGGCTCTGCAGAGATTTCTGAACACCACCATTCCAGGGGAGCTCAGGCATCATCTAGGTCCTTTGGGGTAACCCTGCTTACATGGAACTGCTCCTATCAGACGATCCCCCTCCCCAGCCTGTCAGTTGAAATGCAACCTTCGTCCGTTGGCTTTCTCAGAATCTTCCCACAGCCCCCAAGTTTGCTGCAGAACCTACGCACTGCCTCTCATTAATATCAGCCTTGTGGTCCTAAATGATTGATCTCTCCTGAGGCAATAGAATTAGGGTGGTTAAAAGGCACATTATTTTAAATGGGCCCTGACATTTATTCTGCTTTTCCCAGTCAGACGATATTATCATTTTTTCTAAGTTGCATCCTGTCCCCCATTGCATTTCTGCAGATAACATCTCTGGTTTCATTCTTACAGAAAGATTTGCTACGGGAACAGAGAAGCACGTTACCTCCCAGAACATGGGCCCCGGGGTTTATCTGACAGACCCTCCATCTCCTAGCTATTTTGGATACTGGGAAACCAAATATGTGTATAAATACATTGGTCCAGAGCCCAGGGTCCCTTGTAAATCTCACTGAAAAATGCTACCCTTGAGCGGTTGATGAATCGGACCGCTATAAATAATATCTCTATCAAATACCTTGATATTTAAGATTAGACTGTACATTTTGCTTTCCCAACTCTTGGGCTGATATAAGTGATGTTTCTAACAAATTCACACCTTCGGTTTAGTCAGGTACATCATCCCAAAAGAGAACACTGCTTACAAAACACCACGTTTCCTTACCGCTTATTTTTATGTTTAGCACAACATGGATTGTGGACCTGGTTTCTGACAGCCATTATGAATTGCAGTAAATATTTTGACAAAACCAACAGTGGTGTTAAGCACACAAGAGAATTACTAAACTGGGTCCGACCCAGTTTTACGCAGCACTTTCTTTATAACTGCGCACTTGGAGATAAATATATCATTAAGAGCACAGGGTAAAAAAGAGTTTACTCTTTTTTGTTCGTTTGTTTAAACTGACATCTTCTATATGCCTATCTGATACAGCACGCTACATACCTTTACGAAGACAGACGTATTTCCAGCCAATGATGCTCTGATTGAAACGCAAGTGGCCTGGCCTGAAACTGAGACGACATCACCAGGTCCAGGAAAGGTGGGGGTTGGCCACCTGGAGAGAGGGGGGCTCCATGCCCTCCTCTCTGCCTGTGTAGGGAGTTTGCTACTCTTAGCTGAGAAGGCGACTTAGGCACCCTCCACCGGTCCCCACTCTGCAGGCAGCATCTCGGAGGTCAGAGACAGGCTCCCTGCATCTTAGGAAATAAAAGGAAAGATGGTGGCCTTGCATGGCTTGGCCTCTGAGTCAACGCCGTCTGTCACTGAGAAACATACCATTTTGAGCAACCTGGAGGACACTCAACAGAGATGAAGCTTGAAGTGGCTCAGAGATAGGAAGTCAGTGATTGTCTACACATTGCTTAATGTCACAGTAGGAACCCTTTGCAAACAGGAAGAGATAGATGCAGATAGGGGAGCAGCTTAGAACCGCAGCTCAGGACTTCGATAAGTGTGACTTGGCTACAGATCTCACAACCCGTCAACAGAGGTGTGCAGCCTGCTGTGTTAGTGCTGAGGCTGTTCTGTGCAGGCTAGTAAGTGCTGGAGCCAGTCTGATCATTTTCCTGGTCACGTGGGGTGGAAAGGGCGTCTGCAGAGCCTCCCTATGTAAGCCTGGAGGTCCCTGGAGGCCCAGAGTGGGCATCTACCTCCACTGCCAGTGATGATGGCGGGAACCTCACAAGAATCTCTGTGACGCTGTTCTCATTCAAAATTTTGACATTTGGTTCAGTATGAAGCTGTTGGCCTTCATTTTTATTTTTAAGATACTGCACTAAACTACAATGTTAGTGACTTGAGTTTTGGGTGCCCCTTAAATTCTGCTCCCTCCGTGAGCTCCCCTCTCCCCCATGCCAGTCCTGACCCTGCTGTCTCTGACTTCAGAAGGAGTGACGGAGGGTGAAAAACATGATTATTCTAAATGATGGAGGCTGAGAGGCAAAACAGGTCTCTAACTGAGAACCGGAGCTAATGGCAAGGAACGCGTTTGGAGTGAGACGGGCAACCAGATGCGAAGCCGGCCATGCAGAGCTGCGGTGTGTTAGCTCCTTTCAGCTGCTTTTCCGATGCTCTGAAACGTGCCATTTTTCACCCGGGAAAGGGAGGCCCCCTCGCCCCACTTTGCCATCAGTGATGACATCATGGATCTAGGCCTCATGTTGGCTAGATGAGGTTTGGGGGCATTTCATATGGCCCAGCGAGCTGGGCTCTGAAAGAACCCAGTTATGCAGATTCACATGGCTTCCACTCCCCACACCCCACATCGACGAGCACGCACCTCGCTGGCTGTGAAAGCCACTACGCGTGCAAGGGGCCTCAGGGGGCATGCAGTTGAGAGGGGTGAGAGACAGGTGCAGAGCCAGCTGCCATGCAACGTGCCCATATGAGCGGGTCTCCACTCGCTGGCATGCGGAGCACAGTTCACCTCCAGTGTCCCTTCCCCTCCCGAGGGACCCCCAGCACCCAGCGACCAAGGAGTAAATGTCTGCTGGGCCCTGACACCAGCCTCCATTCTGATTTGTTGATACTTCCATCTCTCCCGATGTTAAATATTCTAAGAGCCATCCGGGCCATGAGACATAAAAGCACAGTTTTATGGGAGCCCAGGGGAAGAAGGTTTGGGGAGCCTTCCTGGGGGAAATGACTGCAGGATGCATAAGAGTTTGATGGGCAGAAGCAGCAGCGAGAGGTAAGCGAGGGAGGCCCCAAAATGTACGAAATGTGAAGCCTTGTGAGGCTCCACTGCCCCTGAAAGGGAGACGGCCATGAGGCAGCCATGGAACTGGGGAGCAGGAAGAGGGCCGCAGGAATTCAGGCTGGGGCCAGCCAGCGAAACACCCAAACCCTCACGCTGGAGAGACGGGCCTTCCCCTGGAGTTGGGGGGAGAACCCCCAGAAACCTGAAAGCAGGGAGGCTCAGGGGCAGCGCTCTACGGAAAACAAGAGGCTGCAGCAGAAAGGGTGAGCGAGGCTACCCCAGGGGGCGGAGCCAGGCTGCACCCAGGCTTAAGCAAGGAAGTCCTCAGACACAAAATTGTCCCTATAGCCTAAAAAGACCTTGATTTGCCTTTTTTCTCCCAAGTTGCAGTCTGAATGCACTTCATTAAGATAAATTAATGAAAAAGTTGCCGGTTCAAGAACTACTTTAAAAAAAAAAAACCTTTGCAGTTGATTAAAAATAAATATATCAGCAGATGAATGGATAAACAAAATGTGGTATTCATACAATAGACTATCATTAGGTCATGGAAAGGACTGAAGTGCCGATCCGTGCCGCAGCATAGAGGAACCCTGCAAACATCATGCGGAGTGCAGAAGCCGGACGCAAAAGCCACACACTGTACGAGTCCACTTATCTGAAATGTCCACGAGTGGCTAATCCGTACAGACAGGAAGCCTGCGTCCGGGGAAGGGAGGGCAGCGAGTGCTGATGGGGATGGAGTTTGTTTTGGGGGTGTAGAAGATGTTCTAGAATTCGATAACAGCAATGACTGCGCAACTCTGTGAATATACTTAAAAGCAGTAAATGTTATACTACGTGAGTTATATCTCAATATAATAAATAAATCGCTCCCCTTCCAATTTTTCTTAGCACCATGATGTAATTCAACCCTCCAGAGCCTGCGACAGACAACCAATGAGTTAAGCGTGTGGCAATAGTCACCACAGAAAAAGTCATTTCCAAAGAATGGTGAACTCGCGTTCTCAGGCCTTGTATTCCCAGGGAAACAAACAAAAACGGGATTACCGCTCCCTTGCCAAAAGCAACGCTCATTTGGCAGAATTGCAGCCTGCAGTGACTGTTCTTTAAAACAAAGCTATTTCAAAGAAAAAGCAGCAACGCCAGGAGAAGACGTCAGACATGCTGTGTGTCCATGTGAAGCCAGGCGAGGGGAATAACGGGGCCCAGGGGCCACGCTGCATGTCCCTTCGCCCCAATAACACACATTCCTGCAGAGAAAGCCATGGCCAAGGGAGCTCAGTGAACCCCTGCCTTTTGGGTTCATTCCGCGGGACCTTCCCCGGTCCCCCAATATGCAGTCACGGGGCGGAGAGCCTCAGGGAGCCCTGTCTTCAAGTCCAAGTGCAGCCACCTGGCTCCCCCGGAGCTAAGGCTGTGATGAACCTGAGCGGAAGCCTGGGGCCCAGGGACCTGGCACAGCCTCCCCAGCAAACAGGGCACCAAGCTCACCTCGATGCCTCAGATGAGTCAAATCGATAGTGACTGCAAGACGAGACTCTCTGGCTTGTCCCCAGGTGCTGTCCCTGTCCCCACATCCTGCTATCTGCCTTTCTCCCCCTCCCCCACCTCCAGTGGCTCTATTCAGAGCACTGAACTAAGCCTAGCACAGCGTCACAGTCCCAAAAGTATGTGTTAAATAAATAAGTGACAATGGATGGATATGTTTGCTTGTCTCTTTGTTTCAACACTCTGTATACACCGCGGTGAGGGACCAGACGGGCCACCCTTCCCCGGGTGACTCTCCGAGATGGATCTCAGAGCACGTCTCTCCTTCTGCGTGTCCACCCCTTCTCAGGTTAGCTGTCCCATAGGTCACAGTGACTGCTCAGGCATTCCTCTCTGTCCCCCGCCAGGCCCTCACATACACCCTGCCACACGGCGGGCTCAGTGCGGGTCACACAGTCAGCCTTCGGTCAACAGCTGCTGAATGACAAACCTATCACATCCCTCATTCCCTGAGCAAATCCACACCTTTCACTGAGAGACTGACAGACTCACAAATCAGGTGGGACCTGCCCAACGTGGCAAACCTCATCGGCGCCCACCTTCAGCCTCTAATCAAACGCAGGGGTTTCTGGGTGGGGGGAGGCAGAGGGACGCGGCCCTCCTGGGGCTGGACACTGCTGCCCCTTGGAAACACATGCACTCAGATTTTCGTTTAAGCCCGTTCCCTCTTTGGGTTCAGTGCACTCCCCCATTACGCTCTCCTCATTATCAAAAGAGGGGTGTAGTCACCTTCCATGTGCGATGGGCAACAAGCTTGTACCTGTTGGGGCTCTGAAGAAAGGAGCGCCCCGCAGAAGGGTGACATTGTGCCAGTGGCTATTGTTCTCATTTTGTGCAGACAGAAAAGTGCCCCCCCCGCCCTGCCCAAAGCATAATAGCGCAAGTGCCCCATGCAATTATCCATCTGCACGTCCTCAGAGCCACTTAAACGATGTTTTTATTTAAAACTTGATGCACCGGCCAGTTTTTGATTATCCGTGGTAATGAGGGTCAAGGATCAGTTGAATAATTGAAATGGAAACTTTATTTCCACCGAGAGTTTCCTCCACCTCCTTCTTCCTTCCGCTGAGGAGAGAGGCGCTGTGGGTTTGTGGAAGTCCCCATCCTGGCCCCGGCCAGGACTCTGTCACTGGCTTTGTGGGGACGCTGAACACCACCCCTTCCCTTCAGCGGGGCTGGGAAGGGACGGGGCTAGACACAGTGTGCCTCGTTCCTCCTCACCAAGCTGCGTGTCATCTTCACGGATATTGATAATGTATTTCTTCACATTGACTTGCTCTTGTCACTTAATTTGCCCCAAGCTGTAATCATAGTTGATGTGGTCATGATGTATTTTTGTAACAGCCATTAAAATAACTCCCTAAGTATTAATTTTTTTAAAAGGTGTATCCAAAGATACCACCTGACTTGGGCCCTAGAGCAGAAAGACAACACTCAGAGGACTGTTGAAATCCAAGTAAAGTCTCGGGTTCAGGTACAGCTGAGTACCAGTTGTGACAAATGCCCCACGCTCATGTCATACCCGGGGGAAGGGGTATGGGGATGCCCTGTGCTAACGTTGCAACTTTTCTGCAAACCTAAAAGAATTCCAAAAAGGAAAATTTATTCAAAAGAAAGAAAAAGGCCTACGTAAAATTAAAGAAGTTTTTTTGCTGGTTTTTTTTAAGTTTGTTTTCAAGAAGCACCCCGGAGGTCTGATAGCAGTCCTGAGGAAATGATGGCAGACATCCTGAGTCAGTCCTTTGGGTTCTCCTGACACCGGGACGGGCTGGGTTTGGGTGGGTGTCTCTGGCCCAAACCCCCTGGGGAGGGCTGGGTGAGGAAGCAGAAAGATACCCGGCCGTGGCCAGTGGCTGAGTGAGTAGAGGGCAGAAATTCACCAGGATGATGTCCCTCTAACTCACAAGACCGTTTCTCCAAACCATCCTCATCCCTTCTCCCTGTGCAGCAAAGGCTCTCCCCCTCCCCCGACCCTTTCCAGAGCAGCTCCACCACGCTGATGGAGGTGGCTCCTTCAGGCTGGCTCCTGGCTTCCCGGG